TACAGTACAATTTTAGTTTAAGGAGACCTGAATGATTTGATATTTCTAATAAGAAACCCAGAATTTTCGACGCTTTCTTTACAACATTATCCATGTGGGGAACAAAAGTTAGTTTGTTCTTTGTTGTTGAAGAGTCAAGTATCAAACCCAAATCTCTGATAGTGTCTGGGTGGCCAAGTGGTATCTTTTTTTTTTTTTTTTTTTGATGTGGAAAAGACAACTCCCGCATTAGGAATAAATCCTGTGTCGCGGGGGACTTTATAAACATACATGAAACGGACACAAAGAACACCCAGACTCAGAACAACAATTTGTGGATCACACAAAGTGTCGTCCCATGTGGGGTTTGAACCCACAACACTCGGCGTAGTAGGAAGCGGCGTGGTGACCGCTTAAACCACTACGCCATCCGTGCAGTCAATTATAACTATAGGTATGTATAGGTATGCCGTTTATATTATAACTATAGTTTAATTTATTTAGCTTACGGGTAAAAGTTATTTGAAAACGTTTTTTAGTTGCATATTGTAATCATTACACCATTCTAAAAGTCTATCAATATCACTGAAGCAACAATCCATCAATGTTTGATTCTATTATATAAGCAATTTATTCGGTCATTAATAAAAATATTGAATAGGATAGATCCCAAATGCGATCTCTGATGAACGCCTGAGGTATTTTTTTATATATTGGACTTATAACCATCACCTACAACGAAGAAAGTTCGATTTACTAGGTATGAGTTAAGCCAACGAAGCAATGATCCAGCAAAACCACATGATGACAATTTTTGAATTAAGATATGGTGAGACACCTTGTCAAAGGCTTTGCTGAAATCATTGTACACCACGTCATATTGTTTATTAGCATTCTGACTGACTCTATAGCATTCTAAACAAAATTAACCAAATTACCAAATATGCAAATCAAGATTTTTAAGAAATTTGACAATTGCTTCTCTGTCAATACTTAAATTGGTAAATGAGTCAGAGTGATTAGATGACATATGCAAGCAAGAGGACAGTAAATACAAGCCAAAAGATTCATTTATTTGGTTACAAACAAAAGAAAAGTAGCCACCAAACATATTACATAATTATGTCATGGCCATTACATATACGCCACAGTGGTAATGGGGCTACCATTACCACTGTGGCGTATTTTATGTTATGTGTATATTATAATTTTACATTTCACTAATTTTATACATGTTCATATAATATAACTTTATTCTTGTTATTATTTTAAGATATATTTTATTTATATAACGTTAACGCAGAGTGGTATACCACAGTTTGTTTACCACAAGTCATCGCCGAACTTCGAAAATCATACTCGAAGCGACGCATCTTCCTGCACCACGACAACGCAAGCTTACACAGCGCTCGTCAAACACTTTCTTTACTTCATAATTTTTTTAAAATTGTTTGAAATCGTCTTTTATGTAGACTTTAAAGTCATAGATCAACACACTCAAAAGCAACAATCTCTGTTTTGTCAAATGGTAAGCAAATAAATTTAACAAAAATCAAACCCATACAAAATCTATGATATGCCTGTGCCGATCTACAACCGCCCGTTTCCAAGGGGTTGAGCCTCATATGAAGAAAGGGCAAACAAACTCATGGCCACTCTTTTGCAATTCACAGATAGATACAATAGCACTATTAAATATACCACAACATTGTTTTGATGTGTGCCAGTATGTCCGTTACTAGGCATGCCTTTTAAGTTCCGTGGTTTCCATATTTCCCGGCAATTTTGAATTTGGAACTTTTGTATATTCGAATATGTTTAAATTTTGAATCTCAAAACAGTTGGAAGTATTAGGATTAATGCTATTTTTTAGTCACAGCGTCGATTGGAATCTGTCAGGTTACGTACGAGAATGAATCTTTCTAAGGAAAATGTTCGTGCAATAATTTTCTACAACTTAAGAAGAGGCCTGACACGGCTTCAGTGTTTTGAAGAGCTAACATCTGTGTTCAGTGATGAAGCCCCATGTCTGCGGACTGTCGAACGCTGGTATGTAGAATTCCAGCGTGGACATACTAGTGTTAGTGACAAATTTCGAGAAGGACGCCCAAAATCCGCCTTCACTGAAGATAACATCATTGCTATGAGACAACTAATTCTCGAAGATCGTCATGTAACGTATAGAGAGATAGAGGCTCTATCAGGCATCTCAGGGACAACCGTTCAGAAGATTTTGCATTAAGCGCTTGGTGTGAGAAAGCTAGTTTGTCGTTGGATACCGCATCTACTTTCCGACGATCACAAGGCGACCCGCGTCAGATGAGTAGGTGAGTATTGGGGTACCTGGATCAAAGAGATCCAGGCACCCCAATACTCTATTCAAAATGAGTGTTCTATTCAGAATCATCTATTCAAAATGAGTGTTCTATTCAGAATCATCTATTCAAAATGAGCGTTCTATTCAGATACATCTATTAGAAATGAGTGTTCTGTTCTTTTGTTCTTTAAGAGAGTGTGTAAGAGGGTGACATCTATTAGAAATGTCAAAAGAATAGGCATAATTAGGAAAGCCGTTGACTGTGGTTTTGTATAATAATTTTATAATTAACAGTAAAGGTTGTTCAAATAAAACTAAAACACGTAACTTGTATATTTTTATTGCTCTTTATTATATAAGAATATTATTTTCCACACAGCACTTATTTAAAAAAAAACACATTTTTTAAGGCACATATATTGCTATGATGCAAGCAACTTATAATATCACATGAAGTTGAATATTTTTCATATAATGTTGCTAAATTGGGACAGTTTTTACTTTCTAAATTATATTCATTATCCGTTTGGAATATATCTTTTAACCATAACATTTTTTCATTACCTTTTGTAAATATACATTTATCTTTTAAAAAATTGTCCAGGCTAGCTTTATAGTTAAAATAGGGTACAAAGCCTTCATTCCAGAATATACCTCTGTTTCTTTCAATCCAAGCTACCTGCACTCGTTCTTTTCTTGATAAGTCGTAAAACCGTCACGGTGGTTTTATCAACAAGACTTGTATGCGTCCTTTGCACATTATTGCTATTTCTTGAGGAATAAATTCGTTGAACCTTGGACGTCCACGATAACATTCATGATAATTTTCTCACAATATTACTTAAAGGTTTGTATTCGAAAAATCGATAGTTTATTATTAAACAGTATTCAGATGTACTATCTGGAATATCTTTAGATCATTCAATGTCTAATCGCACGTCGACTGGACCAGTTTTGAGGGAATCGTTTTTTTCTTGAACAGTCAATCACAAATAGTGGGGCAATTTCTTTGAATTGATTTAAACCTAGCAACGGATTAATGCCTAAGTTGTAATACGACTGACGAAAATTAGCATACATTTCGTATAATATACTGTATTTACTTTCATCAAATTTCAAATTAAGTGAATCATACGGATAGTATTGTGAGTTTAAAAATAATTTAATATCGGTTACATTACAATGATCGAATAAGGAAGAACTTAAAGTTTTATTAGTTTTTCGGTTAGTCTGCAAACCAAAAATAACAAACCTCGGCTTCTCTAGCTGTGAAGTTGTCTTCACTGACCATGAATGCTTTGTTGTTCTTGGTAATAATGGATATTCATATAAATCCCAATTCCTGAATGCTATCTCTATAGAACGATCTCTCTCCAAATTCTTTAGCAATAATAATTTATTACGATCAGAAACTTTAATATGTGGTATACGCCATTGTATTTTATGTAAATCTATTTCTACGTTATCATTTTTCTCCATTACTACACAGTTTAACGCAAAACTGCTTCGTTTTAAAATAAGTTCATGTTTACAATTGATTATTATTTTGTTATAATCTTCTGCAAATCCCAGAACCCTATTTAATGGTACAATAACACTAAAATGACAGTTTTTGAGTTTCGTACCATTTAAATTCCAACCCCAAATTGCTGCAGCTTTACTTTCACCTTCATTCATGGAGACATACGATTTTAAAATTGTTGCGATACCAGCATTTTTAATGCGATCGATTTCAACACCATTTATTTCGTATCTTATATCTTGAAACAAAAATAAGATCGGGTTGTTTATGAAATCAATATCTTTTTTTATTATTTTTCCTGCTGGATCTTTAGTAGATACACTTGCATACCCTTCTATAACAATGGAGCTGCTGCACGGCAAAACATACAAATCTTGATGATGAATGGGTATTCTGATTTCATCATTTTCTTTGAAACTAGTATTATACGGATTACAGCTATGAATCTCATAACTTTCAATTGAGTTGTCATGTTGAGCTAAATCTGTTATTTGAAGCATGTTGTTATTACTCCAATTTTAATCCAATATCTCTAAGAAATTTTTTATTCTCTTTCGTAATTTTAATTTGTCTTTTAATGTTTACAGTGTTGATACGTCTGACTACTTTGAAAACAGGAAGTGAAATATTACATTTTCTTCTCAAGTTAGGCGTTTTATTAAAAACTAACATATTGTATCTCTGTGTACACAAAATTACTATTACATTTAACTCAATTATTTTTTACAATGTGAGTAGTGATTATTATCACACTCAATCTAAGAATGTGTATAGAAAATCAGGATATAAACTTTTATAACCCTGTCATACGTTATGCTACTTCATCGTCTTTCCAAAATGACCTAAGAAATTTTAAACACAAGTGACCACAATTATACAAATGATTACGCTGTACGTTTTCATAATTATACTGAATATTATTTCCTACATATTTCATAAATTATTTTGGAGGTTTTAAATTACCATAACTATCAAAATATTCTATGTATTCGTTTATTTTGGCATAGGCTACCCAATATGTACGAGAGTTTTTAGAAGAGTCAAGGTTGATGACTCCACATTCTGTTGACAATGCTTTATCTGGTAATTGATCTCTCATAAACACGCCTCGGAAAAATGGAATATTATTAGAGTGTTTCATTATATCAATATTAGTTAAAGCTCTATTAGGTAGCCGAGAATTTAGTTTTTTTTCACTGTTGTGTAAATGCCTAAACCATCTTTATAATGCTTAATATGTAATCCTCTTCCAATGAATAAGGCCTCCATTTCCTTGTTGTGTCGTTTCGCTTCAAGTAATTGCTTCTTAGCTGTTTTATATGCATTTATTGCTTTCGCGATAGCAGCAGCACCTCCAGCTAAACTGCCAGCAGCAGATAATCCAGCAAATATTGGTACTATAGGAAGAAATCCTCCAGTTTTTGGTACTGGTATAATTCTAGGTAATTTTATCGGTGTATCTGATGTAAAGTCCTTAGCTGTTGCGTAGGCTAATTCCGACAATGCTTTTTTACATGATGGTTTAATTTCTTTTTTATGTGCTCTTTAGTATGACTAACAATTTTTTTTAGTGTTTTCTTAAAACCTGCTCCAGTTTTTACTTCATTAATGTCACTGTTGAATGCTGGTGAAACAGTTTTTTTGTTGTGCGGAATACCTTGCCTTGTATTCATTGCTATTTCTTTATTTTTCTTCAAAGTAAAGCAACGTATTTAATAGAGACACATGCAAGTCTTTTTTGTTTTAAGAACAAATGCGTAATGAATAAAAAAATATGTGCATTCGCTTAAATACATATTACAACAAGTTTTGTTTGCTCCACCTAAAATACATTTGTTTTATCTATCCAGCTGTTGTCGCTAGTGGGAAGTCCAAGCCACTTAACATATACTTGATTCTCTTTTCTTTTCAAAACTTTTTCAACTAAATACAAATCAGGATAACTGGTTTTTTGAAGTTCTTGAGCATAAAATGCTCCTAGTATTGGTCGACATCTTGCATCTTCTAGCAAGTAAGTTAACGGATTAGTTTCTTGTATTTTTTTTATCTTAAATATTTCTGTTGACGAATTAGGATAATAGCCTTTATCAAAGCATCCTTTAAAAAGGATATTCGGTGGGGCCCTTCTTGGGTCACTGATAGTTGCTCCACTGTTCAAAGTGGAGGAACGACGACGGGTTCGGTGAGCACTTACTCTGCCACCGAGCGGGCAATGGGGACTGTGTCTCCTTGCCGCCGTTTGCACATCGTAATCCCGGTAGGACTATCGTGGTTATGTCTCGCGACTCTCATCGGGGGCGAGGGTCTTGGCTTAGCCGCCCGGACTGCGAGGAAGAAAACCTCTCTAAAAAATTACTCCGAATCCCGTGTTCTAGTGCGTGGCCAGGGGATGCATGGCTGATGGGTAGTTCAGTCGCAAGCGCACTCTCAGCCGGGGCACCTGCGGACCCCTCGGTTGGGTATAAATCTACGCTTGCCCGGGTATTGGGGGATCTCTGCCCGGGTCGACCTTTATTTCTCCCCCACTCGTGGGATCAATTATGGAATCAAGCAAAACAAAACAAGTAATAAGAAAGCAGGGAAGGAAGGAGAAGAACGAGAATAGACGTAGAGTAGCGTCGACGCCGACTTCGCCTCCCGTTGCGGGCGGTCGCGTGACATATGCGACGGTGGCATCGGCGTCTACTCCTGCAGCTGCTCCAAGGCAGGACAGGCGGCCAAGACAGCCGCCAAGACGGCTGCATCGAGAGTGGGGCCTAAAACGTCGGCAAAGGCTGGAGCGATATTACCTCCGCTCCCCACCCCAACACCTACACCTGGCCCCCCCACATCTGCCGCCTCAACCGATGGTTGGCAGGTTGTCATGGGGGCTAAGAAGTCCCGAAAGCGGGCTGCCCAAAAAGCAGCCTCTACCCCGGAGTCGCCATCGGTGTCCGTGGCCACTAAGAGGAAGCCGCGCAAACTCCAAGCGCTTAAATCCGCGGTGGTCAATCTGTGGTGGTCACCGTAGTACCGGAGGCGGCTAACGATGGGCTGTCCTACGCGGCCGTCTTTAAAAAGGCCCGGGACAGTCTCGTACCAGATTTTGGGACGGTAGGTGTCAGAATGCGCCTCGCTCAGACGGGAGCTCGAGTCCTCGAGTTCCCAGGGGCTGAAGGCGCAAAGACGGCCGACAAATTTGCTGAGAAGCTGCGGGGATTGTTTACAGCTACGGATGGTGTGAAGATCGCCGGGCCTTCTAAGTGCGCAGAGCTGCGCATCATCGGGCCTGGACGACTCCGTAACGGCCGAGGATGTCCGCGTTGCAATGCGAGAGAAGACGGGGTGCAACGCGGAAAACCCGCGGAAAGGTCGGCACCATCCGCCCCGGTCCAGGGGGGCTTGGTGCAGTGTGGGTCAGTTGTCCCGTAGCGTCGGCCAAAATTTTGGGCGACGCTGGCAAGATCCTCATCGGTTTCGTAAACGCCAGAGTCACAGTTCTGGCGGCGAGACCGATGAGGTGTTTTAAATGCCTGGCCACGGGACACACTCGCATCAAGTGCGATAGCTGCTTCGACTGCAGCGGACTGTGTTTCCGCCGCGGTCAACCGGGGCATAAGGCGGCAGAATGCTCTGCCGCCCCTCACTGCCCAGCGTGTGGGGCGGGCAATAAGCCCCCCAATCACCAGATGGGGCAGAGGAGCTGCAAGCCTCCCTGCAATTCTCGGCAGACGTCGGGGGCTAGCCAGTCGACCCAGGCTACCTCCGGTATCGTTCATGCGTCGACATCATCGCCCATGGAGGAGGTTGTAGAGACAATCCAGTAATGGACCAAGTTTCCAACCTCCTCGTCCAGACGAACCTCAACCACTGTGCCGCGGCCCAGGATCTCTTCCTACAAGCCATGGCACAGTGGTCGATCGGTGTGGCCGTAGCCGCGGAGCCCTATTACGTTCCTCCCCATCCAAATTGGTTAGGTGACCGGGACGGCTCATTCCCTGCCCTTGTCGCTAAGAGACAAGGGCACTGGATATGTTGCCGCCGATTGAGGGGGGATCACCATTTATGGTGTTTATTTCTCCCCCAACCGGAGTTTGAGCGACTTCGAGGTTTTCCTCAACAACCTGGAGACCTCGATGCGGCGACTAGCGTCTGGGCACGTCCTTGTTCTGGGGGACTTTAACGCAAAATCCACTGCGTGGGGTTCCCCCGGGACGGACGCAAGGGGCGAGGCCGTAGAGGAGTGGGCGGCCTCGGTGGGCCTCTGTCTTCTAAACAGAGGCTCCACCAACACGTGCGTGCGACAGCAGGGGGGGTCGATAGTGGACCTTTCGTTCGCTACTCCTGCCCTCGCCGCACGAGTAAGGAACTGGCGTGTCCTGGAAGAGGTTGAGAAGCTCTCGGATCATCTTTATATTCGATTTGAGCTCTCCCGGACCCAGGACCCCAGTAGGGGTCACGTGGCGCGGCGTTTATCCCGCTTTCCGAGGTGAGCTGTTGCCAGGCTGAACAGGGACCTACTAGAGGAGGCAGCCCTAATTCACTCTTGGCTGTCTCCTCAGGCTCCGACCGTGGAGGTCGACATGGGGGCTGGTCGCTTTCGCGATTCAATCGCGCAGATATGCGATGCGGCCATGCCCCGTATCCGAGGTAGACGGCCTCCAAGGAAGGAGGTCTACTGGTGGTCCCAAGAACTGGCGGACCTCCGTGCAGCCTGTACACGTGCCCAGAGGTCCTACACGCGCAGTCGGCGGCTTCACCGTGGAGACGGTGAGGAGGACCGGCTTCATAAGGAGTACCGAGAGGCGCGGAAAACTCTGAAGCTGGCCATTGGCCGCGCCAAAGAGATAAAGAGAAAGGAGATGCTGGAGGGTCTCGATCGTGACCCCTGGGGTCGCCCTTATCGCGCGGTGCGACAAAAGCTCCGCGCGTTGGGCCCCCTCCCCCTTACGGAGACTCTCCAGCCCAGCTTCCTGCAGGAAGTGGTGGAGGGCCTACTCCCGCAACGGGTGGAACACACACCCCCGTCGATGGTCACCTTGGCCGTCGTCGACGGAGAGAACGTGGATGATGTTCCGCCCGTCCGGGATTCGGATGTAGGGGCGGCTGTTCTACGGATCCGTTCTAAGAACACCGCCACTGGGCCAGACGGGATACCGGCCCGAGTACTGGCCCTAGCCCTTCACCACATGGCAGACCGCCTCAGGGAGGTGTTCGACGCCAGCTTGGTGTCCGGACGTTTTCCTGAGTGCTGGAAGAGCGGGAAGCTGGTCCTATTGAGGAAGCCGGGACGGCCTGACGATTCGGTCGCGGCCTACAGGCCCATTGTGCTGCTGGACGGGGCGGGTAAATTGTTTGAGAGGGTGCTCTCTGCCCGCATCGTCCGCCACCTCTACGAGGTGGGCCCGGACCTGTCGGACGCCCAATTCGGTTTTCGAGTGGGGCGTTCGACGGTGGGCGCTGTGCTACGCCTGAGGGCCGTGACCGAAGAGGCGGTGAGCTGTGGCGGCGTGCTGTTGGCGGTGTCATTGGACATCGCCAACGCATTCAATAGTCTGCCATTCAGCTGCATCAGGGAAGCGCTACACTTTCATGGGGTGCCCAAGTACGTCGAGCACGAGGACCGAGCTGGCAATCTGAGGTGTCGGCCCATGTCGTGCGGTGTTCCACAGGGGTCTGTTCTTGGACCCCTCCTGTGGAACATAGGGTACGACTGGGCCCTTCGAGCGGAGTTTCCCCCTGGGCTGGGTGTAATTTGTTACGCCGATGATACATTGGTCACAGCCCCGGGGGCGAACTTTCAAGAGGCGGCGTGCTTGGCCACCAGGGGAGTCTCTCTGGTGGTCGGGCGAATAGAGGCGCTGGGGTTACGGGTGGCTCTGGATAAGACGGAGGCCCCCTTAGTCCATGGGCCCCGTCGTGGTCCACCCCCCGGCGCCTCAATCGTGGTCAACTCGGTCCTCGTACCGGTTCGGGCCCAGATTAAATATCTGGGCCTGATCCTCGACGGAGGTGGCTCTTCGACGAGCACTTCTGACAGCTTGCTCCAAAGCTGGTCGACGCTGCGTCTGCCCTTGGGCGACTTCTACCCAATCTGGGTGGACCCAGCGTCGCAACGAGACGGCTGTACACGGGGGTTGTCCGGTCAATGGCACTGTATGGTGCACTGGTGTGGGCGGCGGCTCTGACCGCTCAGAATAGGGCTCGCCTCTGGCAACCTCAGAGGATATTTGCGGTTAGAGCCATACGCGGTTATCGCACTGTTTTGGCGGAAGCGGCGTGCGCGTTGGCCGGTACTCCCCCGTGGGACTTGGAGGCGGAAGTGCTCGCCGAAGTATATCGGCGGACGGCTGGTTTCCGGGCGGATAGTGGCAGTCGGCCCCCGCCCGAAGAGATAAGCGAATGGCGTGAGGCCGCTCGCCGAGCCACGATGGCTCGTTGGTCGTCCCGGCTGGAGGCTCCACGTGCTGGCTTTGCCGCCGTGGATTCGCTCCAGCCGGTCATCGTCGAGTGGGCAGGGCGGCAGCACGGGACCCTTTCCTTCCGGCTGACGCAGGTCCTTTCCGGGCATGGTTGCTTCGGGAAGTACCTGCACTCGGTCGCTAGGAGGGAAATGAGTCCCGCCTGTCACCACTGCGATTGCAGTGAGGACTCGGCTCAGCACAATCTGGCAATTCGCCCGGCTTGGGCGCCC